AGGCAATGCTCAGTGCCAGCACTCTGAGCTCACCACTCTTCAATAATTCATGAGGGTGTTGCGTGGGAATTCCTTGTCTTGGGGATTAGTAGCAACAAATCTACATTTTTTTTCTTTAAAGGATCAGCATTCAGCTGATAGCTTTAAAGGAGAAAAGAGTATAGAATTAAAACATTTTTTGTAAAGTTATGTGAGAGAATGTGGCATAAGTATCCTCCTCTTATGAGGATCATATGGATGGGGTCTTGGTCATCTATTGAGCCCTGCTCTGTCTTTCCCATCATTTTACAGCTGAGTAAACTGAAAGTTAGTGAGGGAAATCAAAGGCTAGCTATGCCCTGATCTCCATTTCATACTCTTGAGGCATTGGCATGGACCTCCACTAATTTCTATGCTGTGACGATGTAGGTGATAGCTTTATTATGTCACACGAGCCTCCTACTGCACAGACCCCTGGGGGAAATCAGGGCTATCTGTGGAGAGAGACTCTGCACCAGTCACTAAACTTGGTTCCTACAACAATTCTACCAGAATCAGACTGCAGTCCACATTCAGGACATTGGGAAATAATCCCCAAAGCTCACCAAAACTTCCAGTTTTAACATTTCTCCTGGCCAAGTGTTGTTCCAATCATTACATTAAGCTAAGTGAATTGTTTCATGTCCTCTCTTCTGTTTGTGCTAGAGGTGACACACACATGTGAGTCTGCCACAAAGGGAAGAAAAAGTGTGACCAGGAAAAATCGATAGTCATCTCACCAAGTCTTGAGTACACATATGCATCAAGGCTACCAAACACTCAACCATCTTATTTCACTTTAAATATAGGCACCAGCTTGGAAGATGGCTCAGTGGTAGAGTGCTTGCCTTGCATGCATGAGGCCCCGGGTTCGATTTCTCAGCACCATATAAGCACCATATACCACAGTGGCTCAAGTGGTAGAACACTAGCCTTGAGCTGAAGAAACTGAGGAACAGAGCCCAAGCCCAGAGTTCAGGCTCCACAACCAGCAAAAAAAAAAATAAAGTGAATAAATATAGGCACCAAACCTTCAATATCCAAATAAAAGCCATGCATTAACATAGTGAAGTTGGGGGAAATCCACTGTTCAAAACATATTAATTGTGTGTCCTCTGACACTATCTGCTTCCAAGATGGCTTACAAAAATTCTCTCCTACACACACATACACACACACACACACACACACACACACACACACACACACAGAGAAAATCTCATTTTTCATCCTCAAATGTTATTTTCCAAGTTGTTGGTATATATTACATTTGGATTCAAGTGATATTGAGTGTTTTTCTAAATATCTTTGAAGATCAAGATTTATCACATTTGTGGGTATTCAAACAAGATGTTGCTGAGCCAACCACCAGTAAACTCATGTCTATAATCCCTAATTACTCAGGAAGCTAAGATATAAGGAGTACAGTTCAAAGCCACCCAACAAAGAAGTCCCAGAGACATCATCTCCAATTAACCAGCATTAATGCCAGACTGGAGGCATGGCTCAAGAGCCTAGCAAAAGTGCATGGCCCTGAGTTCAAGTTTGGTAGTAGCATCAAAACAAAAGCAAAAAAAATTATTATTAAATACAAGTAAAATGTCCAAATTTAGAATATAAACATGCATGAATAGTACATTGCATATATTTCATATAGTTCTTCTGAGGACCACATATGGGTTGAGGAAATTTGTGCCATCTGGCCACATACACCACAATTTCCTATAGTACTGAGAGGGAGCTCAGTCCTAAACCTATCAACAATATCAGTAGATGTTATCAACAAGAATTTGAAGCAAGAGCCAGTGCTTCTAAAAAGAAATCTACAACCACAAATAATTCTGCTGTGAGGGGGACACCCTTCAATTCTTTGTTGAAAATCTTTTTTCAACCAGCTGCTATATTGTTTTTTGTAATTTGTTGACTGTAAGATCAATACTACTTTCAAAGAAAATGCCTCAGGATCTGCAGATACTTTTTTTTTTAATCCCCTTAGACTCCCTAATAAAGTAGATTTTAACTATTATGGCTTTTCTTTAAAAGTCTTTCAATAGCTTGGAGAAAACTATTTGAAACGAATTTTATTACTTATTGATTAACCCAGACCTCATACACTTGCAATATTCAAGTAATAGTCACTAAAAATAGGTATTAAAGAAAGTATTAAAGAAAAGGCACATGTGGCTCATGACTGTAATCCTAGCTACTCAGGAGGCTGAGATCTGAGTATTGCAGTTCAAAGCTAGCCCAAGCAGGAAAGTCCATGGGACTCCTATATCCAATAAAACCACCTGAAGACTGGAAGTGGTGGTGTGGCTCAAGTGCAGAGCGATAGCCTTGAGCTGAAGAGTTGAGGGACAGCATCTAGGCTCAGAGTTCAAGTCCCCAAACTGACAAAAAGAAAAAAGAAATAAAGCACCTGCAATCCTAACTACTCAGGAGGCTGAGATCAGAAGATACTGGTTCAAAGTCAGCCTGGCCAGACAAATCTGAGAGACTTTTATCTTCAATTAACCATCCAGAAGCCAGCAGTGGAGGTATGGTTCAAGTGGTAGAATACTAGCCTTGAGCATAAAAGCCAAGCATGAAAGCAAAGCCCTGAGAGTTAATGCTCCAATACTGGCACCGAAAGAGGGGAGGGAAGAGAGGAAGAGAGATAGAGAAGGAAAGAAGGAAAGAAAATTTGTTTTTTGTGGGTTTTTTTTTTGCTTTGTTTTTGTTGTTGTTGTTGTTGGTCGTGGGTCTTGAACGCTGGACCTGGGTGCTGTCCCTCAGCTCTTCAGCTGAAGGCTAGCACTCTACCACTTGAGCCACAGCATCACTTCCTGAAAGAAAATTTTGTTACAAGAAATATAATATATCCTCTAAGGCCATTTGTCAGAGTATGTATGAGCTTAAGTGTGTATGAAGCTATATACGTGCACATAGCACACATATGCAAATGCACACGTGGACACACATGCGCACACACACGTAGACAAGAAAAGTAAATGTCTGTATGGGGCAAGTGAGTGGTATGGAATGACTGCCGTGGAAGTTCAGCTCAACCACAAATCCACCCGTCTCACCTCGGAGCCCGAAGCTTCCATCATTAAACTGTCCCCTATTTTGATTTAGAAATTTGCTTTAAAAGGTCCCTAATGAAACATAACATTTAACATATTCATCCATTAGCACTCATGAATCACAAATTGCATGATAATGAAAATGATGGGATTGATCACAGCTCTTATTTATTTATAGTGCTTTTTACCAATGTCAAATCCCTCCAGTGATACAAGCTCATTTTCTCCTTAGGATTCTAGTGGGCCCTGACTCCCTCTGGTCCCACTGTTTTGGGGTGACTGGTTTCCCTTGCCTCCCTCCCCAGACCTCTGGCTCATCAAGTACCATATCCTCAGCATGCTATTTGGTGCAAGAACATTTGCAAGTGCTGGTCTATCTGTTGTGTCTTGAGTTAGGGAACAGAAGCCCAGAAGTGTCTAATGACTTGCTAGGGATTTCAATCTGTCCCAGCTCTGTGCCATCATACCACCCACCTCTGGTCATCTAGGTCTAGCCTCAAGTGAGCAGGCACACAGAGAAAGGCAAGCACTGCTGGCAGGGAGGAATCATGAGGCAGGATCCTGGAAGGGTACTGACAGGCTTACAATAGGTGAGAGGTATTCTCGGGCCAGGCTTGGGTAAGCAAGGAGACTAATGCAAATGCTGGGAGGGGTAGTATAGAGAGGAACCTCCCAGCCTGATTTTCTCCATGCTTCTGTGTGAGATGTGATCTTATACTGGACAGGCCTATTCACTTCCCTGGAAAGCTCCAGTCCCCTGAAATATTCTCCAGGGCGCACTGACAAACTGGGTGGGTCTTGTCACTGGGTGCTCATTTGAGTCACCTTTCTTGGGCCTAAAGCCAACTGCATCTACGTTGTCTTCTACATGAGTGAAATGAGACACTGAGCGATTCATTCTTCTGGAAGGCAGGCCTGCAAACTGGTGGCCAGTTTCCTCTCTCCCAGAGCCTTCCCCTGCAGGAGGACAATGGGGCATTGACAGGAGCTGTTTGCATTGACCTTCTCCAGAGTTGGAAAACAAAGTCTCACCGCTCAACCGGATGGTGCCTAACTGAAGCAGAAAACAAGCTTGGGTTTCATCTGGAACTTTCCCTTAAGTGTAAAATAAGCATGAAGGATCAGAAAGTAAGGACCCCAGAAAGAAGAGAGGGCAGAGAAGACACAGTTGGAGTTTTCATAAAAATCCAACTGGAGAGCAAATGGGGGAAGTGGGGGGGGGTGAGTCTGCTTTCTCGCCCAAACTCCTGGCAGGGGTGGGTATCTGTCCTTGGGCCTTCGCCCCTTCCACATGGTACCCTTACACTTAATTGCACTTAGATACAGAGTATTATTAGATGGTTAAGCAAACAGTGAGGTTCAGAGGCTTAAAGTCCTGCTTCTTAACCCCTGCTGTACCCGCTCAAGAATAAAGTAGTAGGGCCACTCACCCACAAGACATGAGTTCTATGCCCTGCCTTGCCTCTGGAGGCCCCATGGAGATGGCCCAAGATGGGTGTTTGCACATTTCTGCAGGACAGGGAGAAAGAGTTTTCTGGGTGACTCCCCCCAGCTGCAGATTCTGAAATGGAGCATGTGGCCTGAAGGATTGAGGGTGAGGTGGGGAGTGGAGGGTACAGTTCAGCTCTTCACATTCTATCAGAAGCCAGAGGAGAAGCCTGCTGCTTTTTCTCCCTTATCCCCCCAAAGGCCAATAAGCAGTACCTAATTAAACGTGTGACTTCTAGAAAAAGATAATGGGTTCTTTTTCCCTCCCTTCCTCGCTCTCTCCCCCACCCCTCTCTCTCTCTCACTCTCTCTCTTTTGGCTCAAGTTACCAGAAAGCTGGAAGCTACCTGTGCAAGACTCTTTCGTGCAGAGAATGGAAATGTTATTTAAAGAGTGTGAACAATGGGTCGCTACTACATTTGCACTTACCTTCGCCTCTTCATTCACATCCCATGTAAAGGACACCGCATTATAGGCGATCTCTTCGATGTTTCCAATGGTATTAAAGCTCTCCTTGTAATCAGCTATAACATTAAAAAGATAAAGAAACCTTTAAAAGAGGAAGAATGACCCAATGGTGTGCATTTGTTGATGGCAAATTTAAAGTTTGTCTATTTTTCTATATATTTCTATGCCAAACAATAGAGGATCTGTGCTTATTAATATTATTTGGTTGAGTTACCAATGTGAAAATATGATACTTTATTAAAAGAGTAAAGTGGGGCTGGGAAGGTGGCTCAGTGGTAAAGTGTTTGCCTTGCATGCATGAGGCCCTAGGTTTGATTCCTCAGCACAATATAAGCAGAAAAAGCCAGAAGTGGCGCTGTGGCTCAAGTGGTAGAACGCTAGCCTTGAGCTGAAGAGCTGAGGGACAGCGCCCAGGCCCACAGTTCAAGCCCCATGATTGACCAAAAAAAAAAAAAAAAAAAAAGTAAAGTGATATCTGTATCTTATTTGCATCATTTTTATACTAAATAAACTAAATTATTAAAGTTTTATCCCACCTGAGACTTTTACATATTCACCTGCCATTTACCTTTGCTAAAAGGGCCAGAGTATTCTATAGGGAGTGTGTGTGTGTGTGTGTGTGTGTGTGTGTGTGTGTGTGTGCACATGTGTGCGTGTGTGTGTGTGTGTGTGTGTGTGTGCGCGCGCGCGCGCATGCTGGGCCCAAACTCAGGGCCTGTTGCCCCTAAGCTTTTGTACTCAAGGCTAGCACTCTTCCACTGGAGCTACAGCTCCACTTTCATAGTTTTTAGTTTATCAGAGACAAGAGACTCACAGACTTTCCTGCTTGGGTTAGCTTCAAACCACGATCCTCAGATCCTAGCCTCTTGAGTAGTTAGGATTAGAGGAGTGAGCCACAGAAACCCATTGGGATTCTTTTTTAAAATATTCTGTTTATCAGCCAGGCAGTATTACCAAGTACAAAAGGGTCATAAAGAAATCCTTATGGGGAGCTGCAAGACTTTTGTATGTATACATGGTGCTAGGGATCGATTCCAGAGACTCACACATGTAAATGCATATTCCACCACTGAGCTGAACTATTACCAACCCCACCACACCCTCACCCTAGCCAAGAAACATTTCTAAAACTTCTCTATGGACTGACTTGGATACAATGTTGAATTAATCCTACTCACTTGTTCCTCTCACCTATGTTATTAATTTACTTGATTAAACTCATTTGAGGTAACCCTACTTCTATGTGAAATATATATATTGATTCTTTTTCACTTCCATTATTCTTTTTCACTCCTATTCTTGGGGCCTGAACTCTGGGCCTGGGCGCTGTCCCTCAGCTCTTCAGCTCAAGGCTAGCGCTCTACCTCTTGAGCCACAGCGGCCACTTCAGCTTTTTTCTTCTTATATGGTGCTGAGGAATCGAACCCAGGGCCTCAGGCATGCAAGGCAAGCGCTCTACCACTGAGCCACCTTCCCAGCCCCATCCTATTCTTTTTTTAATCCCATTAAACTCCCCCACAAACACAACAGGTACCAATGTGTTTGTTGTGTATTCTTATGGAACATGTTGGATTGATTTGTCTGTGTACATAGTTTAATTGCTCATAAATTGTGTTGTGCTATGGCTAAGGGTTGTCAGATTTACCAAATATTTAGGATATACTTACCTTAAAAGGAAAATTCTGGCTATTTACCAGAACTCAACTTTAACTGGGCACCCTGTGTTTTCTCTGGCAGGCTTCTTTATGGATCTTTCTCAGATCTAACTACATTGCTCTTTCCACACATACCTATGGTTCTGTTTAAAATTCCATGGTGATCATTAACCACCATTTTCAGCGGTGGACACTGCAGTGGCCTCTGTTCTTCATTGCAGTAAAAATCCTTATTCCTGAAAGCTGAACTGATGGTTGACTGCAGAAATCCTTACCAACTTCTCTCCCGAATGGCCCTCCAGATTCTCTGGATGGGTTGGCTGGCTGGCCTTGCCTTACATCACAATTTTATTCCCCTCTTCCTCAAGTCCAGTGATATCCCCTAGACATTACATCGGCATTTCTTCTGCCTCTCCTGAGTCCAAAACACCTCCACATATGCAGGCAGGCACAATCTTAGGTACATGGCTTACGTGGCTCGCTCATCTCCTTTGTCCTGGTTGCTATGGTCTCCTGAGGACAAAGTTATCCCTAAACAATCACCTTTATGTTTTTGTTATTGGGTTTTTTGTTTGTTTGTTTTGTGACAGGGTCTTGTATATATCCCAGGCTAGCCTAGAGCTTGGAATCATCTTGCCTCTTTCTCTCAAGTGCTAGATTACAGGTATGCCCCAATATGACTGGCCCAACGTCTTTACATTTTAAATAAAGTATACAAACTTTAATGTAAAAACATGTGTGTGCTCAACATAAGAAAGTCAGAGGCTGGGAATGTAGCCTAATGGTAGAGTGCTTGCCTAGCATGCATGAAACACCAGGTTTGATTCCTCAGTACCACATACACAGAAAAGGCTGGAAGTTTATAATGTACTATGTGATTTTTTTTTTTGTTTCTTTGATATGGTCCTCCCCGAAGGTATAACCCCTGTTTTCACTGTATTTGATTCCGGTGCCTTGCATCTTGTATATACATTTTTCTAATTTGGGGAGGGGAAGGGAAAAAACAACATGCTTAAATAGGGATACAGGTTGACCCATTGTAACAATGAGCTGTACAAGATACTATGTTGAAAACGAACTTTACAACTTCGGGGCAGGGATGGGGAGGGGGAGGATATTTGGGGAGGTGGGGAAGAAAGGGATGGTAGGGAAAAACAAAGAAGGAGGCAACAATGCTCGATAAAAAAAAGTACTCATTACCTTACTCATGTAACTGTACCCCTCTCTACAGTTTTTTTTTTACAATAAAAATATTTTTTAAAGGATATGTTAAAAGTGGTCCCTAGTGACTGACACATCATTAGCCAGAATTTAATCACATGATCACAACGATTGTGAAGCAGCTGGGAAATGGACTCTTACCTGGCAGGTTGCCAGGCCCCACCCAAAAAAAAAAAAAAGAAAAAATAAATAAAAAGCCAGAAGTGGTGCTGTGGCTCAAGTGGTAGAGAGCTAGCCTTGATCTAAAGAGCTCAGGGACAACGAGCAGGCCCAGAGTTCAAGCCCCATGACTGGCGGAAGGAAGGAAGGAAGGAAGGAAGGAAGGAAGGAAGGAAAGAAAGAAAGAAAGAAAGAAAGAAAGAAAGAAAGAAAGAAAGAAAGAAAGAAAGATAGAAAGAAAGAAAGAAGGAAGGAAGGAAGGGAAGAAATGAAAGAAAGAAAGAAAGAAGGAAGGAAGGAAGGAAAGGAAGGAAGAAAGGAAGAAAAGAAGGAAGGAAGAAAGTTAGAGACTACAAATAAGAAAAGTAATTTAAAACAACTGCACTCTATAACTCATAGCTAACTGCTTTTTAAATACATCTATATGTTTTATCTTTCCTAGTTTTCTGTCTTCCTTTCTTCAACGCATTTTTTATACAATTTGTACCCCTTTACATTTATATCCCACTTACAGGAAAATAGAAAAACTATTAAGAAAAAGAGAGAGACTGTCAGCAGACAGACCCAAAGACACACACACACATATACACACACACACGGAGGGAGACAGAGAGAGAAATTACATGAATTTACTTTGTTGTTGCCTTACACATGTTTACATGGCCATCTTCCATGACCATGTTACTTTAGAAACCAATTAGATTATGTGCCACAACTTTATTTTGCTCATTAGTCATTGAGAGGAGAGCCAATTCATATCTACTTCAAATAAAATTTTATTCATCTTTATAGCTAAACATTTATACAGATGTGATTATATCTTATTAAGCTATACTTTTTGGGACTCAGGGTCTAACTTGATGGCAGAGTACATGCTGGAGAGAGGGAAAGCTGGGTTCCATTCTCAACACCAAAAAAAAAAAAACGTATTTTAAAGGTCTATTTTCAGAAGTGAAAGTAGTAGGTAAAGGAAACTAATATATTTTTTAGGTTGATTTTTGTTAGCTTGCTCCTAGAAAAGATATACACACAATAAGTGTCTTCTCTGCCTCAAACCATCTCTTTCCAAAGTGATGTGCAAAACCTGGTACCTTAATATTTTAATTTGAAACTCCCTGATTGCTAAAAGGTTGAACAATCTTTGATTTAGTCTCTACTTTTGTGTTTATTCTCTGTTTTCAACATTTATTCACTTATTGTGAGTTTCCAGTTCTATCCTGTCCATTTTCTCTCTTAGGTCATTCAAATTTTTCTTACCGATTTTCTTAAAGCAAATATTTAAAGTGAAAAAAATAAAACACAAAAGCAAAGACATTATTGCATCCTACAAATTTAGACTAAGGTATAAGGACTATGTTTGCATAATATTTTTGTTTATATGCTGGTACTGAGGCTTGAACTTAGGGCTGTGCACTACCCCTGAGCTTTTCTATCACTTGAACCACAGCTCTACTTCCTGCTTTTTTGGTAGTTAATTGGAGATAGGAGTCTCATGGACTTTCCTGCCTAAACTGGCCTTGAATCACAATCCTCAGATCTCAGCCTCCTGAGTAGCTTGGGTTACAGATGTGAACCAATGGGGCCCAGCTCTCATGATTCTTTGTTTTAAACATTAACCTGTGCATTCACCAAGCCAACAAGCTCTTAGAATTTTGAAGAATTAGACCACTAAATTTAAAGAAAATAAATTCTCTGATTTTTCAATAATTGCTTTACAGATAATCTTGCAATTTTGTTTACATTTTAATCAGCATTTAAAAAATACAATTTATAGATCAACAGTAAATTTAAAAGTAAGTGTTATAAGGGAGGGCAGGAGGGGAGAATGAAGTAAAAAAATTCATTGTATATACTACAAAATTAAGAAAAGTAAGGGAAGGGATGGGTGGGTGGGTTAGTGTGGGTGACACTGATCAAGATGCACTGTGTTCATAAACTGCTTTGTAAAATGACAACCTTTTTGTACAACTACTTAAAGATAATAAAAATATTTTTAAAAAAGAAAGCTAATGTCATATCTA